AATAACTAATCTTTACGTATATTTAATTTTAATAACGAAAAAATGTACTGACAATTAGTTTGACATAATTGTCACTTATATAAAATTTACAAAAATAATAATTGTTTGGTGACCAAAATATGAACTGTGATTTGTTTAGTGTTGTTACTTTTTCCTACCTAGAATGGATATGAAATATATTTTACTAATTAAATATAATAAAATAAACATAAAAAAAAGATTTAATTTAATTAGTCCCCAGCCTAGATTTGATCCCAGGCTTTTCGTGTGGAAGGCAGATGCTATGTCCTCATCTCCAGCGCTACTTTTACGATTTTAGTTTTAATACTCATAACTAAAATAGTTTCATTCAGTTGGATTAAAATTTAATTTTTTTTTTAAACATTGACCAAATGGAAATAAAAATGCTATTATTTATCGATTCTACAAAAAAAAAAATAATAGTAGCTGGATATTCAACATATGATCTGTGATTGTCTGATTTTATTTGTTTACAGTCTTCCCACTACCTACAATGGATATGAAATATATTCGTTCAGTAGAACGCAATAGCATACTTTTTCGTTTCATAATCTGTGCCTAGATAAGCTAATATTCATGCGGGTGTAGGAAATAGTATATTACATTACGAGTGTGGAATATCACTTTTCATACAAGTGGTACAATATTTTTCCTACGACCACAAAATAATTTCATCAAAAATGTTATTATTATAATAATTAAAATGTATTTAAAAAAAGAATCAACAATAATTGTATTTTTTCAATTTTCATATTTTTCGTAACAAAAATATAAAAAAAACAAAAAAAAAACAAAAAAAAACAAGAAAAAACAAAAAAAAACAAAAAAAAAAACCAAAAAAAAACCAAAAAAAAAACCAAAAAAAAAACCAAAAAAAAACCAAAAAAAAAACAGGAAAACAAAAAAAAATTCTGCAACCACCAAGTTTTGAACGCGGGCCCGCGGACCCGTCGTGTAAGCCAAAGTTCAAATTGCAACTACCCTACAACCACAGCTAATGGGTCTTATGTCAAATGCATTTTTATTTCGATTTTAATTTTAAACAGAATAAAAAGCCAAAATAATGAGATGTATGTTGTTATTTTAAAATTATTTTAATAATTGTTAAAAATAAATATCTATTATCTAAGTTAATCGTTAATTTTAATAATTAATCATCATATCGATTTTACTGTTAATATGGACATTACATAAATCAAAATAGAAATGATGCATTTGAATTATATGTCAGCTGATGCGGAAATGTAAAACGAGGTTTATATTGTAATAAATAAAATGAATTTAAAAAACAATCAATAAAAATCGTATTTATTCAATTTTCATATTTTCTAAACAGAAAAAACTGAAAAACAAAAAAAAATTAAAAAAAATTCTGCCCCCGCAAGGATTTGAACGCGGTCGCTCGTTAGGTCTTAAATGGCAAAGTTGACAAAGTTTGATATTCTACCACCTGAGCTAATAGGCCTTGCGTCAATTGAATGATCTAATTGGTTATGTGTTTAACCAGAATAAAAAACAAACATAACTTAGTTATTTTAAAATTATTTTAATAATAATTGTTAAAAATAAATATCTAGAATCTAATTTACAACAATAATTATATCAATTTTAGTATTAATATGGACATTACATAAATCAAAATAGAAATGATGCGTTTGACATTCTGTGACAGCTGATGCGGAAAGTAGCATATTCGTACACGGGTGGAAAATAAATTCTTATTTATACGCGTGTGATATAGGGCACTTTCCATAGGACTATATACAGGGTGAGTCGGGAGGAGCGCACCAAACTCTATGAGTATATTATGCACGTGAAAATAATGTAAAAAAACTAATATGTTCCTATCCGATTTTCATTTGTTTTCAAGTTATGGCGTAATTAAAAATGTTCATCTAGCTTTCCACTTCTGAATTTTAACATTATCAAAGTATGTCATATGTTCAAAGGCATTTGATAATTCTGACGTTTTGATGAACTGTCAGTGTACAGTGAACAGTAACTGAACGTTTAATTTCGAATTTATGTGATTGTTAGTGTTGCAAAATGCCAGATACTTATTCAAATTTAGAATATGCAAATATGGTGTTTTGTTTATGGTTTCTGTAATGGAAATGCTACAGCTGCTGCTGAAGAATATCGTCAACATTTTCCACACCGAAGACATCCTGATAAAAACGTATTTATTAGAGTTTTGAACAAATTGTGCGAGACTGGTAAGCTTCCCAGTGCTTTCATAACATCTGAACGCGCTACCCGACAAGGTTTTGTAGAAGTAGAAAATATTCTGCATCTAGTAGAAGAAAATGCAACTACTAGCTGACGGAGAATTGCCACTCAATTGGGAATTCCACAAAAAAGAGTGATAAACACACTCCACGAGCAAAGCTTATATCCTTATCACGTACAGAGAGTACAGCACCTACAACCACAGGATTACGCTAACCGTATGGAGTTTTGTCGGTGGATAAATAATAATCATCGTGTTGTATCGAGTATACTCTTTACGGATGAAACTACATTTACCCGTGATGGCATTAATAATACTCGTAACTTCATGTATGGTCAGACGAAAATCCCCACGCAACAGTCGAAAGCAATTTTCAACATCGGTTTTCTGTAAACGTGTGGTGTGGTATGGTTGACAGTGTTTTAATTAGCCCTTTCATTTTGGAGAATCGTCTCACAGGAGACAACTACCTCAATGTTTTACAAAATGAATTACAAGGCCTGCTAGAGGATGTTCCTGTAAATATTAGAATGCAGATGTACTATCAGCGCGATGGAGCTCCTGCACATGTCGCTCGTCAGGTCAAGCAACATTTGGACAAACGTTTTCCAGGGCGTTGGATTGGTCGTGGCGGTCCTATTAATTGGCCTTCAAGATCTCCAGACCTCACACCATTAGATTTTTGTTTATGGGGCTGGATGAAAAATGAAGTCTACAAAATAAAAGTGGACACACGGGATGCACTTATTAGATGAATTGAGAATACTGTAGCCCATATTAAAGAAGAAAGAAATGAATCAATTAGGAGAGCAACAAACGCTCTTCGTAGACGAAGCAGAAAATGTTTAGAAGTCAATGGCGGTATTTTTGAACATTTATTGAAAGAACGATATGATTAAGAGAATTTTTATGTGTAAATTTGTTTATTTGTTAATATGCTATAACTTGAAAACAAATGAAAATCGGACAAGAACATATGAGTTTTTTTACATTATTTTCACGTGTATAATATACTCCTAGAGTTTGGTACGCTCCTCCCAACTCACCCTGTAGTGTGATATGTGTCACTTTCCTAAGTAGTCGTAGGAAAAATGCTTTTTCTACGATCACCTAGGAAAGTGACATATATCGCGCTATTTAGTTTCATGAAAAGTGCCCTATATGGCATGCATGTGGACAAGAATCTAATTTCCGCATCAGCTGCCAAATATATCAGGTGTATCTTTTTTATTTTAATTTATGATATATTTATATTAATAATGAAATCGATTAGATTATTATATTGTTAATATTGATTTTTATATTTACCTAGTACCTAGATATAAAGTAAGCAAGTTTTTATTTTTATATCATCTACGAACCCCTAAATTTCATCCCTGTATTTAATCGAAAATAAATTATTTATGAAGGTACAAATTGAATAAGAGCGAACTACCATATTTAATATGTCGAACAAAAGACAGTGATGAATTAATTAGTTAAGCATTTGGAACGATTTAAAATATTTATTTGTTCCAAAGCCCAAACGAATCATTTACGGACATAATATAGTTCATTAAACAAAAAATGTTTCTTATTATCCCTTAAAGTTTCCCCGTATGTTTTTGGGACACCTTGTATAACCTTTAACCCAGAATAAGCTAGTTTTAATTTGGTAGTTATATGTTCCTTGAACCTTTAAAATCTTGTCCACAATCATACCTAAACTTTTTGGTATAATTGACATCTTTTTAACTTTCTAGTTTTAAATTCATTTAATTTTAGACCTAATTTTTCAATGAATCTATGCAAAATAATACGGCACATGATTTCCTAGGATTTAATTTTAATACATGATCTGGGGCCAATTTCATAAAACTACTTTGCAACTTTTTACTTAGCACTTTGCAAATTTACGAGTTCAAAATACTCCTGTTTCATAATATAATATCGTTATCTTTGCAGATTTTTAATTTTTCATTTACAATTTGCAATTTACTTTCATATTTTACTTTTTAACTTGTCAAATTTCTCTTTTATGAAACATAAATTTACTGAAATATGCAAAGTGCAAAGTGAAAAGTTTTAAAGTAGTTTTATGAAATAGGCCCCAGATAAAGATCGACATTATTTAACTAAAACGATTCCATTATTATGAGTAAATGAGTAATACATTTATGTGTTGTCTACGTAGACGTGGTGGTTGCAAAATTTAAGTGAATGTTGGAAATTGCTGGTGTATAGAAATGGTCCAAGTATGCTTCCTTGTGGGACTCTCTTTTTAACCGACTTCAAAAAAAGGATGAGGTTCTCAATTCGTCGGCATATTTTTTTCTTTATGTATGTTCAGCGATAATTCTTTGTCACGTTATCCGGTTTCAATAAATCTTTTTTGGTTTGAACAGGGGTACCTTAGGGGTGGTCCCATATAAATTTAATTAGGATCCAATAAATGGGTACATGAGAAAATCGTCAAACTCTTTATTTTTGTATGTATGTTCAGCGATAATTCTTTACCACCTTGTCCGATTTCTATAATTCTTTTTTTGTTAGAAAGGGGGTACCTCAGGGGTGGTCCCATATAAATGTGGTCAAGATCTGGTGATGACATCTGCATGATTTTGAGTCGGTTTTTTAAAATTATTTTTATAACTTGTTTCATGTCTATTTCCACTACTTGAAATAAATCTAGATAATGTTTGATTGCCAAATACTTTATAATTCTGTCATAAATATTGGATTATTGGCCCCAACGTGTATTTTGTAACATATCTGATCGATAACCCCACTACAAAAACTTGTTAAAACGTTTCGGTATCTAGTGATGTTTAATTGGTTGACTGTTTGAAAAAATTTCCTTTTTAAAGTAATGCGTCGAGAGAGTGTGTGGACCCATTAAAACCTTGATGGAATGTCTTGAGAGTGAATTTTATTACGGGTAGTCGATAGATAATAGATATAATAGGTGACTTTCATTTTCTTTGGTGGTATAACGTTGATAAAATGCGAATGACACATTTGGAAGAAGAAATTGAAAAACGTAAGTGTTTATTCAATTTAGTACATACTATATTAATTATTATTTAAATTTGATAAATGTTTTTTTAAATACAAATTTTTTCAAAAATATTAATAATTTTTAAATGGTTAAAAAATATACTCAAATCAAAATATATTCGTTTTATTTTTTAAAAATTAATTTTTATTAATGGTTAAGGATATTATTATAAATAAATATTTATTATTTTATTTGTGACTTTTAAAAACTTATTTTGATTTAAAGTTTCCGTTTTTTTTATAATTTTATAAAAACATTCCAAGCGTCACAAAAGTGACTGCCTTTATACATATTAGGATTTTTTTAATGAAAAAACAATTACAAATAAAATGTTTATTTAACAAAGTAAAATAGTACAATAAACCAGGGGCCTATTTCATAAAACTACTTTGGGACTTTTCACTTTGCATTTTGCATATATTACTAAATTTATGCTTTATAAACTAAAAAATTTAATGACTTAAAAAGTAAAATTTGATAAGCTATTTAAAAATTAAAAATAAAAAACTGATAATTTGCAAAGTTGAGGATGTTATTTTATGAATGACAAATATTTTGTAATTGTAAATTTGCAAATTGCAAAGTGATAAGTTGCAAAGTAGTTGTATGAAATAGACCCAGGATTCGACAATATTTTAAATTAATTATAAAAATAAAAAATAATTAATTTATTTAAAAGAATTAAGATATTTTATTTATATTTTATTTATTGTAATTAAAAATAAAAAAATATTACTTGATTATATTATAGTTGCGGTAACATATAATATAGTAGTCTACATCTCGGTAGTGGACTTGTGTGCATTACATCTTAAGGTACATAAATTGGACACCGACCCAAAATTCGACATATTTATATAAATCGTTCCAAAGTAAGAAACCCGTGTGTGTTATATTAATGAAATCTAAAGATATCATTGGTCTAAACCCTGGGCGGGCATTTTGCAAAATCGTCTACATATTTTTGACGGATAGTACTTAAATTCGGAACCTAAAAATTGTCAGTGCAGCTGTAATAGTGAATACTTACGACTACTGTGTAACATTTGCTCTAAGTTTAAGGACCATCAACCATTATTTTAAACTTTCCAACAACAAGTTTGCATGAGTTAAATTAATTTTTTAATTGTTTTATAATACAGATGTAATAATAAATTAAGTATTTTGTTATAATTTTTCGTTACTGTAATTCTCCAAATAGGAAAAAACTTCATGTCGAATTTAAGGACAAACGAACAACCTATGGTTTTAAGTTCGACATGTTCGGTCGAAAATAGGTACATAATTCATTTTATTTATTTTGTACCATCTCTATCTAATCATCGTTATTTTTAAAAGAAATTAATTTACTATTTTATTTTCATACTCATGCGCCAACCTAAATTCGACAGTGATGTCGAAAATATGTACATAATCCACATATTTTCGTCTTATGGAGAAAGACCATGTTAAAATATCATGTGCCTTATTTTTAGAGCCTTATTTTTAGTCCTACTTTCGTAAAATTTTTAAGAAATACCAATAATAACGAAACTTAGGGTGGAGAAATCTTGAATTTTTTGTAAACCTTCGAAAAGTATTTATTTTGAATATTTTTAAAAGTAGATTTAAAAAAACACGCCATTCTGTGTATTAAATATATAGCAATATACCACACTTATTGGAAAAATCAGAGGAAAATTTCCAGAAAACTGCAAAGTGGTGTTTCTTCTATGTTAACAAGCAAGAAGACATTTGTTATCATATTTGATAAAAAAAAATGCCTAAGATATTGTTAATGATGATGATGATGATTCCCTGTAACTAAAAACTAGTTATTGGACAGCGTACCCCCATTGGTTAAGTCCTTAAATAAAAACTCACCTTTACCAATGGTAGACCTGGCCGACATTGGAAAATATATACCTCCAGGGAGTCGATTCTCGACTTTTATTCCCATGGGAAAATAAAATTTTCCCATGGGAATTCAGTTTTCGTATTCTCGACATAAGCGGTGGAATATTTTCCAATGAAAAGTATGGGAAAATATTTCCCTGCTTACGAGTATTGGAAATTGTGTTTTCCAATGGAAACTGTACTAGAGTTTGCGCATTAAAGTCGAAAATTTGACGGAAAAACTAAGACATAACCAAAGATTATTGGATATCTTGTATTTTTGGTGAAAGTGTAGTTAAAACATTTTTTTGGCTTATTTATAGATTGATATTATTTTATTTATGTAGGTATATTATTTTTACTTCTCTTTCACTAAGAAACTGTATGAACTGATTTTCTTAAATCAGTTAGAAATTGTGGGAGCTGCTAAGGGACTGGCAAATAACACAAATTGAGAAATTGGTAGCAAATTTAATGAGACTTTTTCGAAAATTTTATTATTTCCGTTAACGAAAGAATTTCTTAGTTTCTCGAAACTTTCATTGCTCTTCCATACATAAGCTCCTTTTTCTTTTTTCAACATATGAAAATGAAAACTAAGAATAACTCGACAAGTTTTAATTATACACAATCGAATATTTTTACTTGTTCCTCGGTCATGCTAGCGATTGCCCGGCACGGCACATGCACCCGTGCGAAGGCTCGGCAGGTAATCGGTTACCCAAAAACCACAACAAATACAAATAATGCCAACAGTAAATTTTAAAATATCTTTAATTTTATTGGTTGTTTCGAAATATTCGTGGACTTAATATCAGACATACGTGAAACTACTATTTTCATGGGAATGTCTATTCGAGAATTGCATAACCTATTACTATGGGAGTATAAGTAGTGGAATCTTTTCCCATGTGAAAATTTTCCAATGAACTCGAGAATCGAGCCCCAGAAATAAAGTTTACCTCTTAAAATCCTAATGCAATAAAGCGCTATAACTAAATAATAAAGTGGCCCCAAGAACTTGGGGCATGATTAATTTGAAACTGTTAATAAAATTGAAGTACCGTTAGAAGTCAATATCAGAGGCGTTTTTAAAGTTTCATAAACAAACAAATTCCGAGAATATACAACATATTTTTTTTAAAAATTTTTACTTTAAAAAAAAAAATTTAATTATCGTTTATATTTTACTTACTTGTTTAAAACCTAAAATTTAACATGACTTTGTCGAATTTAAGTCAGAACATGCGAGATCTATGTCAAATTTAGGTTCAGATGCAGAAATACTGCACTTTTTATTTTATCTTCAAAATTGAGGAAATATGAAATAAATACGTAATTTTTTAAAGACCACTGAGCGTGCAAATAATATTTAACTCGACAAAACTTTAAAAAACAACGATAATACCGTCCAAAACTTTCACAAAACCGCTAAAACTGTCTGATTTAGGTACATTTACTTTACATCTAATTAATTCTAATGAGCATGCGACCCGCCGAGCCCTTTTTACGTTGCATTTTCATTTATTGACTATTTTGAGGAATAAAACATACTTGTACAATTAGAATTTCATTCATAAATATCCGAGGCCTCATAAATTAGTAAAAAAATGTAAAATAATCTACTATCTAACATCAGTGATTTCGTAATGCTGACTTCAACAACTGATAGGAACCTCTTCGGGAAAAACCCACACCTGTTTAAACTTATTTAACTATAATATGCTGCGACTTAATTTCTTCATGTAAATTAAAATACAAGTGAATTTTTTTGTGACTGTGAACGCGACAAATATGGTCCTAATGAGAAAAACTGTGGAGAAAATATGTTAAAATGATAACTTTACTGATTGAGACCAAAAAGTAAAATACATTAAAGACCATAATATAGTCTACATGGTAAAGTATTTTCGCAATAACTATTGTAAAGTTATGCCAAGCAGCAGGCAAGGCATTATTACTTCCAAATGACATGTGAGGGTATAGAGTTGCGAGAAAAATAAAAATTGATGCTACCATCTATCAAAAAGTTTCCAACTTGCAGCAAACGCATTTTTTATCTCCCCAGAGGAAAATGGCTTGGATTTAGAAGCAACAAATGAGATATACGAAAACACTGGACTTTTATCATTAGCAACAAAATTTAACGCCCACTGCAGTTCCTTTTAGGAAGTTACGTTTTTAGGTGAAATAAAAATGTAAAAATAATTCAATGGTGGTTATCACAAGGGGATGACCAATAAATCGCAAAAGTAGTAATAATCATAATACTCTCTCTAATTCACCCCCTTACTAGTGAATTTTAACCCCACAAGCTGAGCTTGTCCGGGGAAAGGAAGGCTATAATTATTATTTGCCGTGGAGCTCCGGGGCGACTTAGAGATGATACAATTTAACTTATAGGTGAGGAAAACCCGGAAACTCATACCTACCATTATCAAAACTGTAACGCACATCGATTTTTATAATCTGGATAGCATATCAACAGAAATTAAATTTCTACTAATACGGAATCAATTAAATCCTATAAGAAACTATGCAAATTTATTAAAAATTTCCTACATGTGAAGCCTCTCAACCACAAAATTGCTTGCAAATGACAACAATCGCCTAAGACATCTAGGACATTTTGCTTTTTAAAAAAAGACAGGTTGCAACCCTACTCAAAACAGAAATTGTAAAGAACGTGACAAAGAACACCAAGCGGGCACGAAGTGAGAGTTCGGGTCGGATCAAGAGGATAATCAAGAAACCCCTTTTTTAACGTTATTGAACGATATTGATTGGATGCTTTTAAAATGGTCCAGTTGCAAAAACTAAAAGGACGCTTTTTATTATTTACATTCAAGGAGGTCCTTTTTTAATTAAAAACGATTTCTTTCAATGCTAGGTTAATTTGTTTTTTAATTTGACTTCTAAAATTCTCAAATACCAATTTTAGTCAAAAGCTGGTAAATTTTAAAAATACATGATTTTTTAAACTATTCACCCTCTATATAGCTGACAAAAAGTATAACTGGTTTTGAGCCAGAAAGGAACATTATCTGTATACAAAATTTGAAGTTTTTCTCTAAAGCCGTTTTTTAGCTATCGCGCCAACAATAAGA